TATATAGTTATTACTAATATAAGAATACATATATACACTATGTAGCTAAATATATATATTATATAATATATCATATATATATTCATATTGAATCCCAAATGCAGAAAACAAACAAGATATATAGATTTCAAACTAATGTTTCGCAGCGAGAAAGTTAGTGCTAACTAGTCAAGGGCATTCATCTAACAAAAAAAAAATACCGCATTAATAAATACATTATGATAAAAGGAGCATGATAAATGTAACTTCCAAATTAACTCCCACACCATAGCACGTCACATACTTTTTAACGGTTTGACCCCGGCCCAAATTAAAAAAAATAAATTGCTATCACATGAAAAATTCATACACAAATAAAAAAGGCAAAAATGCTCATAAAATTCGTACAATTTAAATATAAATTAAAGCAAAGATGTGTATTCTTTAAAAAAAAAAAACAATGTGTGAAAATACACATTTGAAAATTCAATATAAATATTCAATTAGTGAAATTCCAATTGACAGGCCAAAAACAATTGCAGCGTTAAGTCACAAATTATTAGGATGACAAAAAAGAAAAGTTATGAAATTTCGATACTAATACCATTTACTATTAGAATAATATATGTAAATGGTAGTGGAATCTAAAAGCTCATATTATTGCAAAACTATTACTTTATATAGCGAAAAAACGATTTGTTTTATTATGAGTTTATTATGCATAGAATGTCAATTGTTTACATCAGAATGCCTGCACAATTGATTCCAATAATATAAAACAGCAAAATTCATACAAATTAATAAATGTCAAAATATAAAAGAAAAAAATCAGTATCATTAAAAATATCTCCCAAAACTGTGGTGAAAAAGCATTAAGTTTTTAATCACGAAAAATCATACTTAAACAACATTCTACAGCTATCAAATATAACTACAAACATTAATTCAGGTGCGCTAAACATTAAAGAAAAAAAATGAAGAGGGAAAGAAATACCAATTGTAGTCAGGCGTAAGTGAGGTGCTTTGTTAGGCCGGAAGAACGAAAACCAAAAAGAAGATGGGTGCAAAGCGGAAAGCATGCACAATAGATAGAATAAAAAATCGAGCGGTATAAGAACCCGGAAAAGATGTAGTGAAAAATAAAATTAGAAAATCTTAAATTATTGCTAAAAAGCGTCCATAACCAAATTTACAAACAAAGCTTAGGCGAATTTTCCTCCAATACAACACTTCGAGCTCCCAAGTTTAAAAAGAAAGTAGTACCAGACTTCACGCTTTAACTGAAATTCCCCCGTTCATGAGCCAATCATCACAGAACGATATTGTAGGGGCACCACCATATGACGTCAGCTTATATTATGTAATGATCGTTTAGTAATTCCATAGGTCTCGTACAGTACTCTCTGTGTTCTACAAAAGCCTGGGCAAAGAAGAGGAACAAAATAAAAATACCCTTAGTTCCTTCAGCCTCAACTAACTAGGTCTTCAACTCATCGTCAAGGAAACTCCACGTCAATATTGCTCCGGCAATTTTCAACACCAACATTTTGAACCATCATTCAAGCCTAAATCTGTAATCCTCACAAGAAATGAAAAAAAAAAAATTCCTCCTACCCATCTGGTGGGTATTTATAAAATACTTTTATCGAAACCGTTCTCTCTTTTTAATTTCCAAACTTTTTCTCCTGAGACCGCTGTTTTACACAGGAGTAAAAATTTGGTAAGAGAGTGATGGAGCATAAAATTTAAAACCTTTGCTCTTCTTCTCCAGGCACACGGATCAATAAACCATATCGCCCCGGCTGCACGCTTGACCTCTCGCCTCCCGAAGGCAACAAGTGCTATTCTTCCACCTCCATTCTTCCTATCGCAGAGGAATCGCAAAGAATTTATCCCGCGGTAATGTGCGCTTGTTCTTCTTGTTACCTACCTTAGGCGACCAGCTTTGTAATAACCTGAACAGTATCAGGATGTGTCTTACCAACGGACGCTGAGTGGTCTCTAATGCTAGGAAACCTGTAAAGTCAACACTGTTGGGCCTCTGCAGGTCTCTTTCGGCGCAAACTGGCGTTCATTTCACTCGGTGAATCAAGGATTCATACCTTCTATTATTGTACCCCAAACTTATGGGTATAGATCGATTTATCAAATTAAGCGTAATACTTAGATAATAGAAGAGATATTATATGTTTTACCAGCAGAACTAAAAATGCCTTCATTTAAGTAGCATATTCAAAAGAAAACATACAACCCGAACAGAAACAAACGATGCTGGCTGAAAGAAATTTAGAATGCACTAGTACTTACAAAATTTATCGTGGGCAAAGCAGATCTATAAAAAGGTCCTAAAAACCGCGCGAACAAAGATAAAGTTGCCTTGCACCATTTTCTGCCTCCGGTGGGGAGGGCATCAGTGATAAGGTATATGAACAGCAGAATTATCCCAATAAATACTCCATTCCCAGAGGCCAACTTCCACCGTAAATAGTTATATTAAGGATTGTCTCACTGCAGCCAAGGGAAAAAAGCGTATTGGCAAGGAAGTTATAGGACAACAAAAAATGTTTGCGGATTTCGTTAGGAATAACAGTTTGAATTCCGGAAAAATGGCATGGGGAAACAGCAAATAAACGCACATAAAAGAAGAAAAGTTGTTGCCAGGGAAAAAACTGAATAGTGGAAACCTGAGCAAAAAATCACTGAAACAGAGAGTGTCCAAACTAGTGCGTCGTAACAGGAGAGTACAACAAGAGAAAGGGACACAGATGTCAAAGTACAGCGGTG